TTGCTCATTGAAAAATGGCCCTTTTCCAAACAGAAAAACAATTTTTTTTCATGAAAATGTTCAAAATCCTGTTCTTAGTGAAACCCACCGAAGTGAAAATGTTTGTTTCAGCTTTCCCTCGCCTTTTCTTTCCCTCCCCCACATGCTTTAGTGGCAAAATGGAAAAAGGTGGGGAAGACGAGTAAGAAAAAATAACAAGGAAACAAAGGAGAGGATGGAGGAAAGACCCATAAACCGAAAACCCTTAAAACCCCAAAATTTCAAAACCAAAAATTTCCCATGACAATTCTTTGAAAAAAAATTGAATAAAGGGGAAACAAAAGTTACAAACAAAACTTATTTCAAAATATTCCATAGAAAAATGGTGGTGATTTTTTTCCATCAGCTCTAATTGTGCCTTATGCCTATGACCTCCATCCATCCCTCCCTCCCTCCCCTGCGCTCATGTGGGAAGCGAGCACCCCCAAATCGAGTCCAGAGTTTTCACTCACTGCCTACCGCTACATAAACTCCTGCAGCATCATTTGTCAAGAGTTGATTACAAATTTATTTCCTAACAGCATTTACAAGGCAACGGTGAACTTCGCTTCATTTAATAATCACTTGAACAATATTAATAAAGCCAGCACTAAACACAGCCCTCATTTAAAATGCTCCCAAGGAATTCACAGGCAGTGTGTAAAGTCAGAAGCAGCCCCTTTGGGAAGATACTACATTAATCCAGGATATCACACCACCCCGACAACTTCCATAATCTCCTTGCGTTGATCAGATACACAGACAGCTCCATGTTTTACAAGGTTTTGATCAACTAATGCACATGATGGAGATCAGAGCAAAAAACCAGCATAGAACAGATGTACCAATTGCTTCAAAACCATCTTTCTGTTCCCAATTAATGAACTGCACAGTGGCACGCTCATGGAGCTATCAGACAGCTGTTAATAATGTCAAGATCCAAACAGGGCTACTACAGTCTCTGCCTTCCCCACTGATGAAAGAACAAGGAAGATCATCAGGAAAAAGGCAGGTTAGTTTAGGACAAGTTGACAAAACCCATCCACAAACTCACTCTCCTGCTGGTAATAGCTCATCCAAACTGACCACTCTCCAAGTACCAGCAGGAGAGTGAGTTTGTGTGTGTATGGGGGTGGGGGGGATGTGAGAAAACCTGGATTTGTGCAGGAAATAGCCCGACTTGATTATGTAAAGAGTTGTCACTTTGGATGGGCTAGCACCAGCAGGAGAGTGAATTTGTGTGGGGGGGTGGAGGGTGAGAAAACCTGGATTTGTGCTGGAAATGGCCCAACTTGATGATCACTTTAGATAAGCTATTACCAGCAGGACAGTGGGGTGGGAGGAGGTATTGTTTCATATTCTCTGTGTATATATAAAGTCTGCTGCAGTTTCCACGGTATGCATCCGATGAAGTGAGCTGTAGCTCACGAAAGCTCATGCTCAAATAAATTGGTTAGTCTCTAAGGTGCCGCAAGTACTCCTTTTCTTTTTGCGAATACAGACTAACACGGCTGTTACTCTGAAAGCTGTGACATAGTTACATCGGTACAAATGGTTCAGTTGCACCAGGGCCCACAAGGGTCCAGGGGGAGCACTCAGATCTAGCTGTATACATGTACCCCTATTCATGTCACTGGCAGAAGTTCAGCTGTGCCACACCACAGTGGAAAAGGGCTGCTGGAGGAGAGCAGGTCAGGGACAGGGGGACAGCTGGGATTGGGGGCCCCTCCAGCTAGGGCAACTTCAAGCATGACCAGTCGCCAAAGATGCACAGAGAAGGTGTGTGTGGGGGGGGTGTCACAGCGACGAGGGATGTGAGGGGGAGAAGGGGCGGATATGGGAGATGTGCCCCCCACTTCTAGACATGGAGCCCCAGGTAAAAGCATTGACCATTTTGAGGCAGAACTGGCTGAGCTAGGAGGCTGGACTAGAGCTGTGGAGGATGGGGGAAGGGAGTTGGAGTGGCGCTTGGGGGTTTCTGGATCAGAGCTGGGGGCATGGGTGGAGTAGGGGGCTGGAGTGGAGCTGGAGCAAACAAAGGGGGTAACTGGGGGAAGACTTTGGGGGCCTGAAATGAGAGTGAGAGGTGGCTCAGGGAAGCAGACGGTAAGAGGTGTGATTGGATTGGGGCTGAGGGAGTTGGGGGCTGGACTGATGAAGGCTGGAGGTGGGTTGAGAGAGAGCTGTGGGGCTCAGAACTGCAGGGTTATGGGAGGAGCTGGCAATCTGAAGGAGGGCTGTGAGGGAAGCTAAGCAGGGTAATATCTGGAAGCTGAAGGGTCACTGTCCAACAGACATAACAATTGCTAGTGATGAAACATGGAACAAGGTCAGACAGTGATGAACACAGGCTTGATTTTTCCATATGGTGTTTCCATGAATGAGTGGAAAGATTTCAGTGGTAACCAGTCTAATAAAATACATCCAAGTACCAGTCTCTCCCTAGGATGAGTCATCAGGATTTACTGATTAACATCAGGACATTAGTATTCATATCCTGAATTAAACCTCTCTGGTCATTTTTTTTTTTTTTTTTTGCAGACTGCACTAGCCCAAGGATTATGTAAAATTCATTTTGCTTTGGACTCTAAATAAGTTTCAGAAGAAATTGCCAGAAATGGAGGATGGGGCAGAGAAGGAATGTGACTTTGCCATTAAGTCCCCAAAGAACAGCCCTGTTCTATATATTCTCTACAGGGAATAATATGTCATGCAGTTTCCCAGTTGCATAAATACATGGACTTTGGGTTAGAAACATGTTGACTATTCTACAACGCATTTTTTGTCTTTGAAAATTGGAGGCAAATCAGCTATATCACATAAGCAAGAAATAGATACAAGCTATGAAAAATCTATATTACATCCATCAGAGCAAATAAAGAGTGGCAATATATAGAGACCCCCTCGTCTGAGTTTATTACAAACTGCAGTCTTCTATCTCACCTAGATAGAGAACTGTTATGAGATGAGACAAATGGATATTTCAGGGCATGGATTGTACCACTTGAAAGATCAAAGAAAAGGCACTCACATTCATAACATTTCAAATCCAACTCTTATACAAGACTATCTTTATAGGACATCAATCACAAGATGAGAGAAACTGTACGCTATTTTCTAGTAACACACTGCCAATCGCAAGACAAATGCCAGATGCCACAGAACGAGAAGCAACCATTTTTCAACTAGTGAATGTCTTCAAATATATTACAATAAAACTGTGAAAAAAGATCCTTTCAGCTTCATCTGTTTTGACAGACGCCAAAACTTGGAGCATGGCGTTTTATCTTCATACTGCAATAATCTTTATGAAACTTAAACAAGGCTGAGGATGGTGGCTTCAGCCTAAAATTACACTCTTCACTGCACAATACACAAAACATTTCAAGCAGTCTGGCCATTGCAGGAGAAAAGATCTGCCTTTAAAAAAGGAGAGGACAAGTCTGAGAAGATAAAAGTACTGCGCCATCTGACATTAACATGGTCCAGTTCATATTGTTTCTAAGTGGCTTAGTTTGTCTTCTCACTGCACTCTGCAGTACCACTACTGACTACCATTAGTAGGAAGTTATAGGCTGCATGCAGCTTTTCTCCAATCAAGAGCATAAACTCTAAATTTTGCTTGTGTAAATTCATTTAGCCCATTATATTAAACAGGTGTCAAGCTGCTAAATCCTCCACTGCAGCGGAAATGTATCCCCAAAGGTCATGTTCAGAGGAAACATAAAATCTTGTGTAATCTCGGGTATTTCTAATATGCCCATCACTGCAGTATCTGATTTTCTGCATGCCTTAAAACTGGAAGCCGTAACTTTTCTGTTAAAATGCATGTGAAATCAAAATATACTGTACTCTTTTGGGCTTTTCATTGTCCTAAAGGACAGCAGGTTAGAGGTTAGGATGTGTAGGTCCGAAGGGAGACAGAAAAAACAGTCTGACACCACTGATGTCGTTACAGCCCATTGCATGAAGGCAAAATCTGAAATATTTAGGAAAAGGGGATATATTATTTTGGAAAGCCCTCAGGTACCACTGTGAAGGGTGGGATATAAAACCTAGAGAGAGAGAAACTGTCCCAAATCATCTGGTCCAAAACCAAAGATTGTTATACAATTTTCCCAAGACATTCCGCTTGTCTTTAAAATAGGGTGTGCAGATTTTCCTGCCTCTTTCTCTTATTCTAGAACTAACATCTCCTCTACTGCAGTCAATGCAAAAGCTGATCTCCCCTCTCCATTTGTGTTGCCCTACAGTAGGCTTCCTCTGTGGTGCCCTGAGGTATATCCATGGAGTACAGGATCATGTACGGTATTTCATTGTGTAACATCTTGTGTAGAACTTCAGCACCACAGAACTCCATTTGGGAGAACACCCTAATGATGGTGACCTTAGTGATGTTTAACAGAACTCTGAAACATCAAGCGGTAGTCGAATACCAGTGTAAAGATCACCACTATCAGTCTGACACTGAAGTATTATCGTTCTCACCCCTCTGTTTAGGGGACAAGCGCATGGGTCCCAGGGTTCTCGCTGTGTTGCCTGGGAGACGATCCACTATGCAGACTACATACAATTTCATTAAATATCACAATAAAGACAGTGGGTCAAATCCTGTCTTTAGCTACACTCACTGCAACCCCATGCAGGCTTAAGTGGGACTTAACTGATGTCCAAGCTTTTTGCTAGCATGCTGCACGTGAAGGAATGAATTCACCTGATTACCTCTTACAATTGAGAGAGATGAGATAGGTGAGTTAATATCGTTTACTGGAGCAATTTCCAATAAAAGCTATTACCTCAACTACCATGTCTCTCTCAGCACCCGGGACCCACACAGCTACACCACCATTTTGGAAATTCTAAGATTTGCCGTTTTCTTTCTTTACTAAACCATAACCAGTTTTTAATGAAAACACCTCTTAAAATTCCTCTTTTTTTGCTTGATTATTGAGTTACTTCAATCCTATAATAAAGAGGAAACATCAAATTTCAAAATTCTGAAATTTAATCAAAGATCAAGTTTCACAGCAAAAACTGCTGAAATTTTAATTTCAAAACATACCATTCAAAATCTTTTTTGCAAATAGCAACAATTTTTGTAATAAAATCCAGTAGATAATTACTAACATTTTTCTGAAATTTACTGAAAAATAGGTAATTTTAAAACAGACCTGCTTGCAGAATTTTGCAGTAACCGTGCAAAATTTGGCCCATCCTATCTTAGATCCTTGTACAACACCTGCCACCACAGTATCGGAGCACCTCACCATCTTTACTGTATTTATCCGCACATTATCCCTGTAAGGTAGGACAGTGCTATTATTGCTGTATTACAGATGGGAAAATGAGGCACAAAGTGACTTGCCCAGGATCTCTGAGAAAGTCAGTGGCAGAGTACGGAATTGAACCCAGGCCACTCAAGTCCCAGAATGCCTTAAACACTAGGCCATACTTCCTCCTCTTCATGTCCTATAACTATGCTAGCTCGGTGACAGCATGGACAGCTTTCAAATTAGCCCTGGTTCTTGAATTCTAAGGAATAAAAGAAAGGATTTTTTCCTGCAGCCATTTGGGTAAGTGCATTACCATTATCTGCAATTATATAATGGAAGCTTCCTTGTCAACCGTACCGAAGTTCTAAGTGTTAAAGTCTTGCTGAGGCTAGCCCCCCAATAAGGTCAATGGGAGTGCAGACGAGTGGGTCCCACAACTTCTGTCCTATGAAATAGGAGTAAACTATATAATTGTGTTTAAAAAGAAATCTAGTAACATAATCCAGCAAGGATTACTGTGTTCTCTTGTACATCTTTGTTCTAATACATATTTTTTAAAGAGAAATTTGAGGACATATGCAAAGGTACAGCTCTAGGGACCATTCCCGGTCCAAAAATGATAGCAAAAATATCCAATATGCAATTTGTCTAGCTTTTTACTGTTAAATCCATTAGTTACAGTAACAGACACTTGAAAAACTAGCTCAGCACAGTTTGGTGCTGTACTGTGACAGAATATTAATGACGGCATTGAATGCTGGCCAAAACATTCTACAAGTACAGAGAAAATATGTACAGTAGCTGTTCAAATAATTATTAAAATAAAAAACAAAGTATGGAATTGCTCCTATCTGCAGAGCACAGTTACAGGGTAACACGCAGTGGCAGAGAGAGCTAGTGCTCATGCAGTAAATAAAGCACTAAACTGTAATGAACAATTCTAGTTGTTCTCCTCTCCAAAGGACCAAACAAGAGAATTACCTTCATTTTAATTTGCAGTCTGGCCCCAGAGCATTGCTCTTTTTTATTGCTGTAACGGTGCCCAGATGCCTTGAAAGCCTCTCAGTCAGATGGAGCTACACCGATCTACATCCACTAGGACCTGACCTAGATCTTAATGAATTCAGAGGTCTGCCATAATACTAAAATAAAGGCGTAACTAAGGGCCTAATCCAAACTAATGGGAGTCTTCCATTGACTTCAACAGACTTTGCTTTCAGGCCCTATGGGCCTGACTCTACATGATGCTAAGTGCCCTCAACTCCCAACCCAATGGGAGTGAAGAGTGCTGTGCCCTGAATTCAAACTCAGACTCTCACAGAGGCTTTCAGGCAAGAATGCCCTCATACTAGTCCCAGAAGATGAAATGCTTGGATCAATCCAAATTTCTTTATTAATTGTGTTGGACCATGGGAAATTGGAGATCTCAATGGCGGGGTCCTCAACCATTCAAGGCCATGAAGATCATAACCAGCAACTTGGGATCTGATCCTGCCAACTGTGACTCACAGAGGCCTGACCCAAAGGCCACTTAAGCCCCACTGACTTCCTGGGGCTTTAGGTCTGGCTCCTTGGCCCTGACCCTGAAAAGAGAACAATGTTGGGGTGAGCCTTTGCAGTTCTCTTGCAGGATCAGTGCTCATCACTCCATATGTATGCAGTCCTGCTGAAGTACCACCTAACAGTTTAGTGAACTTAATGGAGCTGGTTTTGGATATACGGGTGAGCAGGATTGGTAGCCATTTTAACCTTTTCTTTTGACATATAACAGCAGTTGGAGTAACAAAGGCTGTGTACAAAGAGCTGGGTCCCAAAAGCAGTTATGATTTCAGCGCTTTAGGATTGACTTTTTAAAAAATCCAATATGTAGCTGCTGGCACCCAACAGACAAAATCTGTATTAATACACACAAAACAAAATACAGTTAAACACTCATAAAAGAGAGACAAAGCCTAAAATGTGATCAAATGCATAATTTTCACTTTTAGTTTTTAAAAAAGCACAAAATTTATAAATGCCAGTTTGCATCTCCTTACTTGATTTCAAAACAATGTCCAGAACACACAGTGCAGCTCAAAAACTATGTTGCTCATATTGCAGAAATTGGCTTCTCCTAGACATTACTGAGGCTGAAATTCCTTCCGTGAGGTTGCTCCTCTCAGTCAGTGCTACCAACCCCATGATGCCAGTTATTGTAACATTGCATTTTTGCCCCTTTGTCTTCATAAATGATTTTCTATAAACTCTGAATAAAAGGTGCAGTTTGTCATTTCAGCTATCTTGTATGTCCACTGGGGAAATAATAAACAGCCATTTCCACTGAGAGTCATTACGTGGAAGGGGAAGTTTGCAACACAGTCATTTCTGAAGAGCATAAATGAGGGAAAGCTGTAATAAATAACGGCGACTGTCAGATGGAAGAACTCAAGAGCATGTATTCAGGGATCAGTTTCCAGCCCTGTCATTGTCTTTTTTCCTTGATAGCACCCATCAAGACCGATAATTTCTATAATCTGTAAGTTTATTGGCAGCAGTCATGCGGTTCAGAAGAGGCGCATGAGTAGCTGGGGTGAGGTGGAGTCCATCTGGCTGACAGGTAACCAGTGCTGCTCGGCGTTCCGTTATTCCTCGGCTGCAAACCAGGCGCTTCTCATCAAGGATGGCTAGATGGTATTCACAGAAATCAATCAATGATGCCACTTGCTCATGAAGTGGGAGTGACTTGTATCTTCTTTGAGCCAGGCAAAAGAAAGCTTCTACGAAGGCTTGCAAGCACATCCCTTCAAATAAGAAGAGAGTTTATATTAGAATCGTGGCACAGACTTCTCTCACATGCTGTAGTCTTGTAATCTAATATGTCTCATTTCTATACCCCTGTTCATCCCAAAGACTGGAAGTGAATGTACACACACACACTCTCTCTCTCTCTCTCTCTCGCTATTAGTTAACTCCTTTTTAATTCAAGAAGCAACTGCCTAGAATGGTCACAAGCAAAATACCCATCCTTTGCTCTTCAAAGACCAAAATGAGACATTTTCCTTGTATTTGACACATTAATCAAACAGCTCAAAGATTTAAAAGAAGTGTCCCAGAATAGCAAACATGCCCAAATTGGGTTATAGATGGGTGACATTCCTGAAAGTAGAACCTATTCATAGGGATATGCTGTGATCTCTACAAGCATCAGTCTGACCTGATATTCTGGCATCTGGAGGTAAATGGCTACAGGAACTACTGATTCTAAGAGGTTGTGAAATTGAATTGACACAAGATCAGCCCCGATTCTTGTTGCTTCAGACATTACATTGAAATTGAGTCTGACACATACATGCTGAGCTCCAGAGAATATAATCTGCCCAAGGAAAAAACAAGTCATATTTGCAACTGAAGTGTGTCATTTTAAACTTTGCCTTCTTAGCGATTGGACCAAACCAAAAATCTCAGATCTGAATATAATCCAGATTTCAGGGTGTTTCTGTTTATGGTTCTGTAAAGCTGGTCCCATTAATGGGTGCCCTCAGAAATGTACAAGTGAGTTATCCTAAACTTCCTATCCTCTTTGCTGACACTGCCCTTTCCAGCTAGCCATATCTGGCCTTTCTGCTGAGATGCCCGCTAAGGCTACCAATTAGTGACAGTCCTGGTAGTGGTGTTGGCAATGTGGACACTTTTCCACTAGGAACTGGACTGTGACTCACCAACTCGTTTCACATAGGTCACCAAACAGCCATCAGATGGTAACAACTTGGTCTCTACTGACCTAGGTTGGATTCAAACTGGCACCTAGAAGTGAAAGGCTCAATGTTCCATCATCACTCCTCTCAGCAACTCAGTCCCTCCATTTTTTTTGAAATTTACACTCTGTTGTTGCACATGCAAAAGCAGAACTTTCCAGTCCACAATTCTTTGCAGCTGCTTTTCCTTTCCAACTAAAGGAGGCCACAAATGGGAGGTTGGGGCCTGGCTGGCCACACAGTACTTCACAGGCCAAGTGCAAAGACTGGAACCTGCACTGTGGGCACAGATGGGATATTCAGCTCATGGCACCTAAGTGCTCGGATGAGTTCTCTGCAACAGCTTTTTGGCCTACTTTGGCTTTTCTAAAGTCTCTTTCTCTGGCTCCAGGGAAAGCTGCTCCTGCTATGGTTTTGCATTTTTTAGATGTTTGCTGTCAGTCCTTACTGCACTAAGGACTGGTACTTTGACTTGAATGTTCTTCATTAAGGGATTGCAGATGAATACTCAGATTCTCTCTCCTTCCCAACAGCAGCCCTTAGCTCCTGCTGCCTTCTTCACCCTGCCTTGGTAAGACTAAACATTCAGCTGAAACACCAGCGCTAACACCCCTGCTTTGATGAGAGGTGCCCTGAGATCTTTACAAACAGAAGGGGTTAGGAGCTCAGGTTTCTCCCTCCTCCAGGAGATGGCACCTCCAGCCACACACACAGCATAGAATGCACACAGAACCCCTTACTGGGTCACCATCACCACTGCCTCCAAAAAGCTGGGTTCTCCTTTAGGTCTCCTATACAAGTACTAACTCCCACCCCTTCTTACATTTGTACGATGGTAAATTCATATCCCAAGGTGGGACAGACGAAGGCACACAGCAGATTGATCATATGCACCTCAGTTATTCTAAAGGACTGGCTCCCCTAGTCGGCTCCAAGAAAAGAGTCTGCTAAAATTACTTGTGGGAGGATGAGTTCCACTCCTTTTTCTACATATGTCCCAGGTGAGTGTGTAATTTTACTGACATCAGGAAAGAGAATCTGCTTAACCTGAACAGAGCCCTCTAGCACAGTTGATCTGTTTCAATTGTAGGAAACCCAAGCTCTTGGAGTGTGCAATAAGGGAAAGCAGAGCAATGGCAAAGATTCCTCTGCAAAGTTCAGCTTCCCTGATTCCCCGCAAACAACCCGTAGAGAAGCCAGACACTGCAGAACCGGACTTCTAAGGTGTCCTCTGATTGTATCACATTAACAGCATGTTACAATGGCCAGGGGAAAGGGTAGCAGCACATAATGCTAATTCCTGCATTTTGGAACCTTGCCGTAATACCCTATTTAATTCTTAATTAAGGACCTATGCACCACTGTACCTTTGTAGAATGTCAGCAACAAGGAGCTGTCATATCTGGTTTGCATCTTAACTGGCTCACCCAGTTAGAGCACACACTTAAGGGGATTATTTTAAAATAAGATGCTGAGGGGTTTTTTTAAAACTCAATTTAGGTTTAATTGATGTTGCAAGAAAAAACATCTTTTTAAAAATTACCGTTACAGTCTGAAGTATAATTTCTCTTAACTAAGACGGCAATTGGGGTCACTTACAAGCTCCGTGGTAAAACAGCTTGGAAAGAAATTGTTGGGTTATCTGAACACAGCAGCTGCCAGCTCAGTACATTATTTTATCAGTCATGGGGAGCTATCATGTGGGGAAAGGGCCAATTCGCTAGCACACACATTTCCCCCCATAAGTGACACTCATGCAGAGTATTTAATGGGAAAAGGTAAAAGCTGCTGTTTTACAATAACAGAAACAGCTATGGTGTGATTTACAGTTGGAAGTGGGCCAAATTCAAAGCCAAATTGCCACAGATCGCTCAGGAAGATTATTATGTACAGATATATCACATTCCATTTTTATTTTTCCCAGAAAATTTCTGGTTCACTGTAACCCTAAACAAATCTGGTAAGTCTCGAATGCTGAAATGCTGGGCTTGACGGTTCACCTGCCTGTGATTCTGTTGCTAATACAGTTCAGTCAACTCATCTCAAATAAAAGACTCGGTCCCACAGTGAAATTCTAAGGGGAAGTCTGCACATTTTCTGTATGATTCCTCTCTGTAGAAACACCACCACCCTCCCTCTGCAGAGACAGTACTTTGAGCACCTGGAAACCTCATTACTGTTTTGTCATTGTAAAAATAAGGGGGTTCCTAATGTAGCTATACCAAGTACAGTGCAGCGATTCAGACATTATTAAACATCTGATGACTACTATCTTATTTTCAACATGCATTCAATTTTCCCCTCTGATATTAAGACTACATTTGTTCCCTCTATCACTCCTTTGAGCAATATATTTTATATATTCCCCCATGTGCCTGATGTGTATGTCATCTGTTATATATAAGGCTAATATATAGTATAATTTATCTTCTGATAAACTAGGTAAAATAATACTTGTCTAAGGGTGCAGGTTTCATTACCATCTGTGAAGCATTTTTAGATCTTCAGCAGGATCTAAGTATTTTTACAGGTGTGATATCTGGCCACATTCTAGCAAATTACCATTGTGTATCATTGAGACACTTGGTGTTTATGTAGGAGAGAGATAAGAGCCATTTTGTAGAAATAAAACACTGATAAATTATGGAAGGGAATTTTCAGCTGGAGTGATTTTTTATTATTCTACCGCTTTGTTCCTTAAAAAAAGAAAAAGTACATGCACATGTATATGTGTATAATTAGAATGACTCTATATGTGTGCGTGTGGAGAGGGGTTGTTTGTTTTCGATTGGAGGTGTTGGTTTTGTTGTTCTAAGTACACTGGGTTTAGGTCTTAGTTGAAAGATACTAGCCTGACAGCTCTTTAGTTTATTATAAAGCGAGCATTTGAGTCTAAACTAATACCACCTAACTGATATAGTGCTTTTCATCAGTAGAGTTCAAAGTGCCTCACATCCTTAGTGTATTTATCCTCATCACAACCCCCGTGAGACACGGCAGTGCTATTATCTCCCTGGTTCGGATGGGAACTAAGGCACAAGTGACTTACAAGCTTAGTGACTTACCCAAGTCACAAATGGAGTCCGTGGCAGAGTCGGGACTGAATCTGGGTCTCCCAGGACCTAGGCTAGTTCCAAACCACGGATCCTTCCTTTCTGATTCATAGGGCAAGTGCTGTACAACAGGCAGTGGCAATGCAAGCTTCCCTCAAACACCCCACTGTGACTTAATTCTCACCTTGAAACACCACCTTTGTCACTGTGAAGGCATTAGGTCTCTATGGTCATTCCATCCATAAAAATAGCGAGAAGTCCTTAGAGGTGCCCCAAGGACTCCACGTTATTTTTGCTGATACAGACTAACATGGCTACCTCTCTGAAACCTGATTCCATCCCTAGTTTTACAGCTATAGCTGCCAACGATGGCAATGGTATTTTTTGAGATGGGGATATCTGTCCAGTAAAAAACACCAGACTTATTTCACAAAAGCAACTAAGCAGCTGTCAGAAACATACAGCCTTATTTTCTTATTGGAATGTGATAGCAATTTTAGAGTTTAAGTTATAACACTTGATATATTTAAGCCATTACTGCAACAAGAAAATCACCTCTGAACTCTATCTTGACAAATTAGTGTGTCTCAGGTTTACGCATGTGAACGGAGCAAGTATGGAGATCATTATCCACTAAAGCAGGCTAGTGAAACTAACTATCAGACAGTAGTATGCTTTCTTCATTTCATTAAATGACAGACAAGCCAGCTCACTAAGAATGGTGATTAGCAAACTGAGGCTGGTCCAGACCGAAAGGTCAGCCTAGACTCCCATTAAACAATGTAATTTATATTTCACCAGAATACAGACACACATTGCCTAGAGTATTGCTAATTTACCTGAAGATGTCACAGCATCAACTCATCGTTCGTTGTGATTGTCTCATGGAACTTTGGCTGTGTAGAATACGATTGACTGCTCATGAAACGTTTTTAAAATGTATTACGCAGAAGTGATTTGTTAGTTACGTAAACATATTTTGCGGCATTCTTT